AAAAAAGTGTAAACTCACCTAGTTATAGAGAAAAGACGAAACGTCTTTTTCGCCTTTTTTCGAATAATTAGGGTGGGTATTGTATATGCAAGATTAAATACTCATTTCCAATAGCAATTTCAGACCGATCCAACCGACAAAAATGCCTGGCAACTTTCGCTGTACAGGAAAATCGGCAAGAGCCAGATGAGAGGAAAAAGCGAAATGTCACAAGATGCCGTTATTGAAAAGATTTTCAATATGGGTCAAGTGTCCGCTATCCTGCACACGGTGAGTATTTAGATATTTCCTATGCCATCTCACACTTCTCTTGTGCTTTCCTATTTAGAACCCCACCTAGGAAGACCTAGTATTTTCGCTTAGCTTTTCAGTCGCTAAAAACACTTTATTGCATAGTGCATTTTGATGTTAGCACTTATGTTCTCCTTATAGCAGACTAGTAGTGAATAGCGTTATTAGAGCCGGCATTTGAGCACGAAAAGCCAAGAGATCACCGCTACACATAGAACGCTTGAATGTGTTTGGTTGACTTTTGCGGAGTGTTTCTGTGTTGTGTTTATGTCTGATAGTTTTACATGTTGTTTTTGTCTGCGTTTTTCGTCATCTTCGGTTTTGTTCAGATCATGCGTGTGAAGGATCGACGCAAGCTAAGAGCAAAGGTTGTTGTTTATGTTGTCCTATGTTTATGTTTTCTGTTCGTTTTTGCTTTCCGATGAAGGGATGCTGGGCAAATAGGCGTCCTCTGAACAGTTCGCCGGGGCCTACCGCGCGGCTAACGAACGAGTTAGGGACAGTTTGAAGGGATCAAGCAATGGTAAAGGTGATGGTGATGTTATGACATCTCTGAGGGTGTATCTGCGCGGTGGGCCTTCTCTGTATAACCTTCAATGTTTGTCTCCGTTGATGTTTCCCAGTGTTCTTTCATGTGCTGTTAGAATGTGCCCTAAATGTTGGCCCCGTGTGACCACGGTGTAGGTTGACGCCTTCGTTCGCGAACGCGCAGTTTTGCGAACTTATGCGGGTCTAGTGAACATTTATCTTAGCAACCTCTAATGGCGTTGTGACTAAGCTTCCTTAGTTATGATGCACAACGATTGCGTCGCTATATATATATATGGAAACCTAGCCTTGAAACGTTCATCGAACTTGTCATATGCCACACGGGCTATACGGAATGAACTAGAGTTAATTTCTTCAATTGGGGAAGGGTAGTTTGATTAATACGGACTTCAGATGGAGTTCCAAATTTATCGTTGCAATTTGGAATGTTTTCAACAAATGTGAGTATGAAAATGCAGAATGGCTCTTCTAAAAAGTTATGAGCGCTCAAAATTTGTCGAAATTTCGTGTTTATCGAAAGTGCGCAGTCGAAGGTTCGACATCAAGCAACAACGTGGCTTCTCGCTCTGCATGCAGGAGGTGTGGGTTTCCTCCCCACCGTTGTCGAAATTTTCGAACAACGGTCCTTTGCTACAA